AAAAGGAGAGATTAATGTGAAAAGAAGTCTTATCTTTAAAACTTCAAAGAGAAAACTTAGAGCAGAAGTAATATATCATCGAGAACAGGACCTAGGCTGTGAAACAGTTATTTCATCGCAGGAAATATGGTGGCATCCTTCGTTGTACACAATGCTTTAAGGGAGTGCCAGAGGAGAGGCTTTACCTCTTCCACAACCACATCTCCATTTTTCTTCACAGAAGCAAGCTGTGAAGTTGAGCGGATCATGCATGTGTCTTGGCAGGGGCCTTGCCAAGGCCGGTACCCCCAGAAGATGCGCTCGGTCCCTGGGAAGAACATCCCTGCAGCAGGCAGGCAAGCTTGGTGCAGCACTGTGCAGCTGAAGTGCCTGTGCACAAAGTGCTGCCCAGCCCAGGCTGATAGGAAACTTTTCCTTGGAAAAAGGTGGGTTTCAGTTCTGTTTCTAGGTTAGGTACCTCCTTTTACTGGAAGAAGTAGCGAGGCAGGACAGTCACATGCAGAAAGCCAGCAAGCCAGCACCAGGTCAGCATCGTCCTCCTGGTAAAGAAAAGGCAGAGAGCGCTGGCACATCAGTGGCCAGGTAACACACGACCAGCAGTTTGATTCCAGCCGTTTGGCTGCAGCATATGGTGAACTAGACAAGCTGACCAATGTTTAACATTTATCTTCCAATGCTTGATGCAAAAATTACAGCTTTTAATTACAGTATTTATTTCTTTAAATGACAGCTGTTTCTCTCACACTATGAATTAACAAACTATTCTGAGCAGATTTGTACCATACATGCAAATCTAAACTGGTTGTGATGATAGTTTAGCTTGGGGTTTGTTTGGGGTTTTTTTTGCATATTCCCACTTTTCAGCTTCATATGTTTCTTTCTTCTGGTATGCTGAGATCGTAACACAGAGGGTTACCTGTGCTCCTCGGGTTCTGGTGCCACAAGATTCAGATTTCGGATGGGGCTCTCAGTGCCACCAGAATAATGCTGCCAAACTGAGAACAAGTTTATTTTCATATCACACAGATGCTGGTTGTGCATTCACAATGACGTTGAAGGAACATAGTTCTTGCCTCCCGTTAGCACTCAGATGTTTGTGTCAAAGGAACCTGGACACAAGCTCATCACCAAGGAGCTGACACAGAAGCTGCTCTGGAAAAATCTGGAGAAAGGCAAGTATTGCCATTTTGCAACGTCACTTGAATTCCACCTGCACGTTACAACTTAGCCTTACAAAGCTTAGCCAGGCCTTCATCTGTATTGTATGAAGTGGAAAAAGAAGGAAAAAAGAAAAGAAAAAAGAAACCAAACCCCACACTGTCTGCAGCCTGGCTTTCTCCCAGGGCTCAGGCCTAGATTCCTGCAGATATTCTAAGTGACCATTTCTTTGCTATCTTGCTTGTCTATCACACCTGCTTGGTCTGGTTGCCTTCAATGTTCTGCCTTTACTTCTTCCCACACTAAGGGCCTGCTCTCCCCTTCCCTGGCCAGCTACACTTCAGTGCAACAAGCTGCGAGATGAGGCGAGATGAGAAATAAACCTGATGCCATCCCTGCGTGTTCCACTTCGCAGTTCTGAGTTCGCTGAATGCAACTCGCATTTCTTCTTTTGACGGCAAGTAGTAGCTAAGTACCTTAACTAACTCAAATCCAGGAAACTAATATTAGAGCTGCCATTTAATTCTCGGGGCAATAAAGAGGACCAAGAGACCAAGTCGCCTCTGAATGTCTTTCATGTTGGTTTGTTACACAGTGTGATCTTGTTTTACAAGTGCTCTGTTTACAAGAATGCCATGGGGGGGTGGGGGGGAATGTTCATTTAAGTCCCACAATCACATAGGGCTACTTTTGTAAAGGTCTGATCCAGTCCTACCAGCTGCTTGCCCACAAAACTTTGCAATTGTGGAGGCTAATTAAGATTCTTCAGAGGAGCTCTCCTCTCGCCGGCGGTTGCAGAGGCCTCATTAGACATGCTGTACCTCCCTCTTCGCCCAGCAGAATGCCCCACTGTGCTTGGTTTACGTTATGGCTTATGAATTAACCAATTGATTCTGAAAATATCATTACTTTGGGGCTAAATAAAGCCATTCCCTTTAAGGGGAAAAAGTCAGGGCTTCACATAGGAATAAACTGCTACTTATTACCTACAAACTCTCGTCTCTCCCACGCTGCGAGTCGAGGATTCACTTGCCAGGATACAATGGGTTCAGTACAAAGGGAATTTATCCTGGCCTTCTGTGAAGATGGGGAAGAAAGTCTGGGCCTGGGCAGGAAGCTTGATTTATATGCAACTCATTTTAAAAAACTAGCTTACATGAAATGATTGTGCACATAGGCCATGTCTTTTTCATGTCCACTTCTCTGTCCAGCTTTAAAGTGAAGAAATCCGTAACCGGTAAAGACCAAGCACATCTGAGAGTTGCTTGGTACTAATGCTGTGTAGCTGAACTACAGAGCTGAACACAGCTCTAGTGCTGGAACAAAATTGCAACTGGCACCAACATGCAATATTGGACCTCCAAGATATTTGAGTGGTTACGGCTGCAAAAGTTTATATTCAGTCTTTAAATTGGTTTTAAACCAGAACCAAATCTGATTTAAAACCCAGCCTGAGGAATATATAAATTTAATGATGTTTCATCTAATACAAATAGCTTTCCCTTGCTATGTTTGTGCAAATATCTGGTTCTGATTTTTAAAAAGAAAGCTAACTACAGGAACAAGACAAGGTATTTCACATAACGAAGAAACCCAATGTGCTGACATAGAGTTTCAAATTGGTCAGGACACGCACACCGCTCGGACAGCCTCCTCTTCCTGAATGCTTTGAGTGGTTAGCTACACCTCTTTCAATTGAAAGGAATACTCTCCCTTCGCCAAACTAAAACTGAGAACATTAAAACGTAAGACAACTTCACTGCACAAAACCATACTATATATTGTAATAACAAAATGCTTTATTTTGGGGGAATACAAGGAAAAATGTGACATCCTCATTATCAAATTGTTCTAAAAAGGCATTCTTTCTTCAAAAAGTGTAACGCTCATACAGAAAAGGTGACCTGTAGATAAGCCTTCTCATTTAGCAGTGGGAATTCTTTATTTTACAGCTGAAGTTGGGATTTAAATATTCTACAGCAACAGATTTCAATTTTGTTGATATTTTCCAGTAGCTTGGGGCTCAGCCCTGCTCCGGCTTGACAGCCTACCAGGAGGCTGATGAAAACACCGAGACGGAGCTATCACAATTCTCACCCAGGTCGCTTTGCAACTAACCACAAGACTTCACCATTACCACAAGAAGACAGTGAGAAAGCCACAAGGTAACTCATCTTCTCTTTTATCTCCGACGACTTTTCATGCAAGTCCTACACTCATGAAATTCTTGTAGCGTTCATCTGATGACAGCTCGGTACTTCACCACACATCCCCCTTGCTGTAAGCCAGGACCGTGTTGTGAAAGGTATACAACAGATCAACTGCGAAATACAATTATTTCCCCAACGTATCTGCTTTCTGTTCAGTAAGTTCCAAGTTGGGCTATGTTTTAAAGACTGCAAATTTATATCCATGAATTACTTCTGCCCTCTCTGAATCTTATGTTAGAATGTAAGTTGTTAAAGAAAGGGACTGGGAAGCTCCCAAACTTGTCAGGTTATCAAGTAAGCATTTGTCTTTTAATCCAGCCTGACAACTCTTTGCCAGAAGTAGTACCCATGTTAAGCGGTGAGATACATCGCTCTTATTGTTTAAAGGGGGTTCATGTTGTCTGAAGCGGGAATGGCAAACTCTACGAGAACTAATGGTTTTCTTTATTCAGGTTAGACATAACAAATATGTCAGATACAGCAGTTAGTCTAGAAAAATACATTTAAAAAAATCTTCAGCAGACCATGCTCCCTGTAACAAAATCTTTCAAAACCAATTTTACAAATTATTCTACATTAATGTAAAAAGAAAATCTCAAATTTAGCATCATGGATTCCATCAAACATCCATCTATCAAAACATGAGTTTCACTATTTGTAGATGTTAGAATTCATAATACATTTTTCTAATGTATCCTGTACATATTAAATAACCTAAAAGGCTCCTCTTGTAGTGCATTAACAATTTAGCAAGCACACTCAGTATTTCTCCAGTACCATTTGCATTACAGTTATTTGCCCGCAAATGTAATTAACATCTAAAAGTGCACACAGTTAGGTCCCCCCTCCCTCCCCAAAACCTGTTTCCCTGCTGAAACCCAGACATCCACTGGAAACATTATGCTACTGTAGCTAATCTACCCATGATTAGAAATGTGTGACTAAAGTGTTCTTAAACTATACAGGAACTGAATTATATACAAGAATCAAAAGCACAGCCTGTATTTACACCAAGAAACTTCTGCTACCACAGCATTATACCAAGAACTCAATACAGTGTTACACAGTTGGTATTTACTTAGGATTTTAGCTTTAAATCAGTATAACACAAAACTTAGCTCAGGAAATACCCTGAAAAAAATGAACAAGTTTATTAAATATTACTTCTATTATGCCACAAGACAAATATCCGTTGCTGGATATTCTTGCAATTCAGTGTTTGAAATAGTGTGCTGTTCTATAAAGCAACTAAGAAGTTCCAGAAAGGTTGCTAAGGAAAAAAGAAAGGAAAGGAAAAAAGAAAGGAAAGGAAAAAAGAAAGGAAAGGAAAGGAAAGGAAAAAAGAAAGGAAAAGGGGGGAAGAAAAAAGGACAGCAGATATCAAGTGAGGAATTAGATTTAAATAAAATAAACCGAACTGTTAGCACAAGTTTAAGACAGCCACTGCATGCAGAAACCCTTTGGAAAAGTGTCGTACAGATCTGACTAGGTTGTAATACACAAAATGTAACTCCACTGAATTTTTCCATACCAGTTGGCAGGATTTTTCCCTATCAAGTGGAAGAATTTTAAGATTAAATTCCAGATTATCCAGTTTAAGATTAATAGCTTTACTCTCCACAAAATCCAGTGTATGAACCTATATTACATTTTTCCAATGCTACTTTAAAAAAAGCAAACTATAAACTTTTCAATTCACTTTTTACATTGAACTTTTCAAAGAAATCCAAAGTGTTGTCTTTAATTTGCATTAAAGTGGTCAAACATTTCTCCTGTTTCTCCCTTCCCCAAAAGTGCAAAAAACAAGTTGCTGCTTGGTCCACAAACATAATACATCATGTACACTGAGATTTTCCTTCTGATGGAGTACTGCTGCCAACCCATCACTTCCAGTTTCTACTCCAAGAAAAATGTCAGCGTCCAAAGATGGAATTCAATTCCAGTAGAATTAATTCTACAATCTGATTCTGGTATACTGTGTGGACTGCTATGTTACCAGTCTCTTTTTCTGGTTTTAATAAGGTTGGACCAAAAACTATTGCTACACTTTGATAGGTCATTCGGTTCTTTTCTCCGTTTTCTACAACTCTGAAAAAGAAATACACAAAACCAGACAGTGTTAGAGTAATAGGATGACGGGAAATAGACACAGTCCAAAGCAAATGACTAGTCTCAGTATTTATTTCACAAGTAGTTGCTTTAGGACATACAACTGCTGTGATTCTCCTCCCTACGGAAAAGTTTTGTTTTGAAATGCTATTCCTGATCCTCTCACAATCCCTCGAACATAAGGACTTGGCAGTAAACATCACAACTATGACACATACTGTCTAAAGTCTGTTTGGTGCTCTGCAAGCTTGTATAAATACAGACTGATAGATCGCTTTCATCAAGTCCAATTTATGCCAGAAAAATGCAGTGGGAAAAGTCACCTAGTACTTTTAACAGGATTATTTAGCTTTAAGGGAGGATCAGCAATACAAAGCCTTTCCTTCTACCTGCTACTTACCTCTTCAGGTGCCTAAAGAGTACCTGCATAGTGTCCTGATTTGGTTTTGGCAACTGTTTGATTAAATCTTTAACAGCATGGACACGCTGCCTTGGTTCTTGTTCTGCAAAAGGATGAGGTGTAGAAACAAACAAACAAACAAAAAAAAAAATCAGTATTTTTGTTTAAAACTTTAGCATAAAATTTAACAGACTGAGAAAAAAAGCAAATGTTTTGCAGTGTTAATATAAGAGAAAACGCTGCCACCTCCTGGCCGGGCGTACAGTACTGCCAGGCAGTTCCAGGTAAGCCTTGCCTTGCTGACCTTCATTGCCAAAACTTTCTTTTCACTGTCCAAAATAATTAGAAGACCTGTACATATTGAGGATAACTTATACAAAAAGCACATGCGTGTTTTCCAAACTTACTAATTGCATTGACGAAGTCGTTGAAGTGATTATAAGTGAACAGTGGCTCTGGCAATTCTCTGAAAAACATCTTTAGAGCTCCTGTGATGACATGTATATCTTCCCATTTACTGTCATTCAAGTCTAGTTTCTCATCTGGGAGCGAGGAAAAAAAAATTAATGTTAATAATTTAACTATAAAAGCTTGCTTTTTTTAAAAATAAACTAACTACTCTTCTGTACTTATTGGTTTTAAAGCAGTGAAGACTTACTCCACTTCAGCCCCTTCCAGGCTGGGATACAGCGCTGCAGCAGTGTAAAAGGGAACACAAAAACTCAATCATTACAGAGACGGCCAAATTGCCTGCTGGACTACACGCAGCTCCCCTACACCAAAGGCATTTTCCAGAGGGGAACAGGAGCTGCTGACATACCACAACATTTACTGTTAGACCCTGTCAATCAAGAAACGAGAGGTCAGACTGTAGATGGGCTGCTGTCGTCTTCCCAGTTGCAAGCTGCGTACTGATTCCAACTGAACAAAACACTAGGATGTAGCCACGTCAAAGGGTTTTATACACAAAGTAAGGCAAGGAGGAGCTGAGCACCCCCATACTAAAAGGCACTTTTAAGCATATTAAGCTTCCACTAGCATTATTGTTTTTCCATAAGGTATGAAGTTATTCTATTTGAAATAATTTCCCTCCCTCCAAATTCTATTACCACCTTTCTTTAGAATTATGTTCTAGCAATGCCTCTATGCTTCACATTAGACCAAACCTCCAGGATGTTAGGTTTTTCAAATGATGTATATTACACACTAAATTCTGTAATTTTGAAGTAATTTTACTTTGAAGATGACAAACAATTCTCATGAAATACTGCGGTTATACATTAAGAATATTTTTTTTCCTGAGCCTTCTACAAACTTCAGCAATCTGAAAACACACGCAGTTGCAATATAGTTGAAGGAAGCTTACCGTGATTGACTGCAAATCTTAACTTCTGTATCACTGCAAGATTGCCACTAACTCGGTATAAGCCATCAACATCTAATCCTAAAACAAAGGGATAAACCCAGTTTAATACCTTACATATGTATGAATTCTGAAATCATCAGGCTGCTTCTTTGTAGGTCTACTCAGCAAAATTAAAAACAAGGGAAACCCACCTTGTAACAAACACCACTTGGTTTAACATAAAAAGAAGTTCAGCTAGCTTTTTTGATGGGCAGGGCATATCAGACAAGGTTTAGTTTGCTGACCCACATTTGGTAGCATCAACTCAAACTTCCTATGCAGTAGAACAGTAGTAATGAGGCAACAGCTCCAAGTTTCCCCAATAAGAACAAGTGTCTTGTTTCAGATGCTCTTGGTGGGTGGGCAGGGAATAGATGGGAGTCCAACATGCAAGAACTAAGTACTTTGTGGATGTTCAATTTTTTAATGTATGGTTAAGAAAAATCAAATCAAGTCATGCATAGAGAGCATCTCAAAGTTGTCAAGTGACCAGGTTTGGATGGAGAAGGAATGATGTGCATGCACACTCATCACTACCCATCAGCCTACAAAACTAAAATGGGTAGCCCTTGATTTTACAGTATTGCACACTCAACCAGAAAAGAAGAAAACTGTGTCTGTGCAGTTACTCAGAAGTGATTAGGAGGTAAAGAATTTAACTGAAACGCCACTTGAATGCAGCATGTGAGTCAGCGCCACTGAGAGGGTGAGTGTTGCCAGAGTACCTGCAAGTCCCTGTAGCTCCTCAAGGAGTTGTCTGATGCAAGACAGCACAGTAACCAGCACCATCTGACATATCCCTTTTCCCCATAATCCACTAGTCATTCCTTTATAGAAAGAACTGATTTGAAGTGTATTGGCAGTAGGAAGAAGAGTTGGAGAAGTGGGGGGAAAAAAGCTGTTCATTTCTGTCAGTTTCCCCTCAGGTACTTAAAAAAGGAAAACTTCACCACTATCTTCACTGCAGTCCTGTCTTTAAAATAAAAAAGAAATAAAAAAAAAAAGAACAAAGCAAAATAACCCCTTTCTCACAAACTGCAGAACACAAACAGAATAAAGCCTGCTGTTAGAAGCAAGGTGGCAGTTTGTCAAACTGGAGTAAGGCAATGAAGCAGTTATTTTTCCCCTCCCAGGCCATCAGATAGCAGCATTGAGACAGAGGACTACAGGCTGCAACAAAATCCTGAATGAAGATCCCATGGAAGATGCCTTAAAATTCACATGTAGTATTCCCCTGTAACACTTACCCTGATTCTCAAGAGAATGGTCTCAGATTAACAGACTGGTATATATTTGAATGATGATTATGGAGATTCCATAATCCCCTCTCAGTCATCTTTTCCAAGAGATAGGGCAATGACAGCAGCAAGAAACAAGCAAGAAAACCAGCACAGACTAGAGCCAAGTCAGAGTCACAACCAATGTATTTTAACAAAAACGTGAAGATGTTCTTTACATCAGACAACCCAGAATGTCGCATGTAGCTTTCAAACATATTTTCTCAGTTATTAGATAGGAGAGACCTATTTTCAATGAAAGCAAACAAAAATTGAGTCAATATGTGGACACTGATAATCTCCAGAACTGCGTGAAACTTCACATAGCAATCGGTGTAACTGGCTGAAGTGCATCAGACCAACAGACTTGTCTTCTGGCAGTCAACACATATACAGAGCGGGAACGCAACTTTTTCCTACAAGTTTGTTTCACGGAAGTTTTAATATAAATGATTGTTAGCACACTTAAACCTTCCAAAAATGAATGGTTGCATTTTGACAGTCTCTCTCTTTTAATCTGAAAAAACCCCAACTCGATGGGCTGAGCTCTTCTACTACTTCTTGTAATCCCTTGCTGCCAGGAGGCTGTCCTGCCCTCTCCTCAGCTTGAAATACACTGAAGCAGAACAATTTCTTAGAAAAGCTCTTCTCCCCTCTCCCCATTTTGGATCCCACCTACCTTCCCACTCTTGAAAACCCACGGCTAACTACAGATGCAAGTTTCAGATTATTTCTCCCAAATAAGTCTACAGCATTTTAAGGATTAAAACGTTCAAAATTAGATAGTGTGGTGAGCAGGAGAGATTCAGAAACAAAAAACTTCAACCATACCATGTTCCTCAACATGCTCAATGCACAGCTTGACGAACTTTGGCACCGTGCTGTTTTCTCTTTGACACAAGCTGGTGAGATTGGAACCAAACACTTGATCTGGAACCAAGTAAAGAGACTGATTTACGGTGGAACAAGACTCAAGTGACAGAACTAGTTCAGGTTAAAACAAACCTCTACAAAGGGCAAAGACTACTGGATACAATTGCTGCACTATTAAGAGTGAAAATAAGGAAGTTTTGCAAAGAACTCGCAGCAGCTCCCAGCAAGAAAAAGCTCCCAGTAAGAGTGAGTGTCAGCAGTTACACAAATGTGAGTCTCTGAATAAGGAACTTTTGCTACTGAAATAATTTTAATCCATCAGGAGATACTTGTAAGAGTCGTATAGTCATTACTGTAATAAGAAATTTAATGGATTCAAATGTCCTGTTACACTCCACTCCTGTTCTGAATTCAAAATACTTTTTCTGTCATCTTTGTTAAAAATCTGAACAGAGATAACAAACTTTAACAAAAGTGAAAGCTTTTAGCATTGCTTGGGGAAAAACCCTGTAAAATTTCATCTTTCATTGCACCTACTGTTTAACCCAGCATTACATATTAATTTATTTTAATGTAAAGTCTTTAACTTTTAACATTTTTAAGTTCTGACATGGATTTGTAAATGACAGACCTTTACCTCACAGAGCTCTGAATAGATGCAAGTGTGACTCTGCATAGGCAAACTGGCTGCAAGGTTGGAATCTAAATACAGATATTTATGGGCAAAAGGTAATACTGAGTCTTGTTTTCAAAACCACACAATCCAGGAGGAGCGTTTTCTATCAAACTGGAGCAAAAATGAAAATCAGCTTGGCCAGAGAACAGATTCTTGCAACGTCTCAGTGTATTTCAGCAACACGTTAACTCCTCTTGTTCAGGTTATCACAAAAATCTCTCAGATCCTTTTCTGTGGTTTTCATCAAAGATGCCCAAATAACAGATGGCTTCCCCTGTTCAGATGCATGAAACTGAAGTAGGGTATTGAGAGAGAAAGGCAATGTTCACACTTTTAAAGGGAAGGAAGTGTTTGTTTGTTTCTTTAAATCTGTTAAATAAGGTAAGTGGCCATCTTTGCAGTATCTAGTAGACCTTACTTCAGAGCTTACGCAAGAGAGAAACTGCTCTTGCATTTGCATCGTGCATAGCATCTAGCCCATTTTTCATGTTCAGTAATTTGAGTAGATTCATTAACAACACTTGCATCTGACTACTGCTTTGGGAAATCCAAACAGCACACCAAACCAATTATACAGTATGAAAACTGGCATATAATGGTATTATTAGCTGTATGCATAGGCGACCAGTGACCCAAAACACCTCAGTCCTGCTGCTGCTACTCACACAGACAGCTGGATAAGCAGAATCAGTAGCAAGGGATTGAAAAAGCCCACACAGTAGAAAGCCAGGCTAGCATGCAGCTGTAGCAGGTAAAGCAATGCAGATTAGGTAGCACAAAAAAATCCTTGCATGGAACAAGCTGATTTGTTACAATTACCTTTGACATTAACAATTTCCACGTATACAGGAATCATATTTTTTCCTCTCATCTTAAAGTAACTTTTGTAATTTTGTTTTTTCATGTAACAAAACTAGCACAGTTACTTCTCTGCTTAGTGCATGCTGTTTTAAGTGTTTGCCTTTTTTTTTTTCCTAGAACTTTTCATATTTTTTTTCTGCTCATACTGAGTTTGCCAAGTTTTGCATTTACTAAGCTTATTCTGTAGCAGCCACAAAAGTACACTGGGCTTTTAAATAAAGACTTCTGTATTTTTTATTCATACAGTACATGTAAAACTGTACAGCACAGATCCAACTTTTAAAATTTACACCATGCTTTCAAATAAAAACAAACTCTTCATTCCTTAATGTCTTTATTAAAAATCCAATCATCAGCACGCATGTGTACAAATTAAGCTTGGCTTAGCATTCACTGTCAGAAGTTATGTCACTGAGCCATGACATGAATACTAAGCTGTAAAGCAGAGCAAAACGTCAAAGTCTGGGAATAAAGCCTCCCTATCCCAAACAAAAATTCCATAATTTACAGTTCAATTATACTTGCAGATACACAAATCTATCAAATGCCACATGCAACAGAAGCACACCTGTTAAAGTATGTAGTTAGGCAAATCACAGTAGGGTTTGGTCTGATTTTGCCTACCCATATGCTATTTAGACCCTAGTAGAGCACCACCTACAAGTCCTGCTAAAGCATACAAATAAATAAATAAATGAAGTTTTACAATGAGTACCAAATCAATAATTTACACAAACACATTAACTTAAACCTGTGCAGATACTGTTCTCTCAAAGTTTCTACAAGTCTGACAAATGGAAATCAATTCTTTCATAAGTTTGATTCAAGAATATCGGTAAGACTCATTGTTTTTGAAACAATTAAAACCGTATACATTCAAAAGAGGTTAGGGGAAAAAAGATGTTGAAGTTAAGATTCCATCAGCCTTATCCCAGATTGCCTAAATATTTCATTTCTTATGAGATGGCACATGATTGTCTGGTTCCACTCGGACTAAACCACCCTTGTGAAACAGATGAGCACAGGCGTTCAGCTTTACACCCAAAGGACTTTTCTTTCCCTTGTATGCACAAATGATTATCAGCTATCTGACATTTCCAGCTCAGAAGAGCAGATCAAATGGACTCTCAGCTAAGAAGCACTCCAAGTCCAAAAAGGCCTCTGGGCCCTCGATATTCACCATGGTTTTGCCAGTAACGAGCTGAAGGAGAGGACATCCCCCATGAAGTTTAGTGGCTAGTAGCAGTGCTCAGAATGACAATCAATCACCAGTTCCACTACACATCCAAGACTTTTGTCAAACCAGCTATATACATGTGTTTTACTTTAAAACTAGACCTTTCCAACCCCATTTTACGCATGAACTACTAAATTTAGCTTTTCAAATTATTTCCTTTGTTAGAAAGGTTCATTTACCCTTAATGTAGCCTTTTTCACGGACAGCTTGTAACGTGGGGCGCCGTGTAAGAAACTTCTTGAGCTTCGTTTTGGTCTTTTTCTGATCTGTGGAATCTATATTGCTAGGTGCTTTCACTGCTGAAAAAGAGAAATGCATTTCACATGAATATCCAAAGAACCAACACTGCGTTTATCTGCCAAGGAAGAAACATTAAAAAAAAAAAAATTAAGCTCAAAACCACATAAAAAGCCTATTCAAATTTGTAATGCTTCCACATCTTTTTCCTTAACTTTTTGGAACTCCTTGTAAATACCATCCATTTTTTCAAACCACCAAGAGACAACCCTGTCACAAAAAAACTTGTAAAACCAAGCATTGCCTGTGAAGCTAACTAAATGGTAGCTTACATATGGAATTGATGTGGAATTCTTAAAAATACAGCTATGTTTCAAAACCCATCCTGCCTTTCATTAACTATTTTGAAAGAAATAAACACTTACATGTAATTTGCAAGAAAGTAAGTAAAAGATAGAAAATAGTCTGCCTGATTAATATATTTCTGTGCATAGGAAGAAATTTCTGCAGCTAAAAGAAATTTAGCTCTAAAATTCTGAAGGTGTAATTAAATATGTTTAGTTTCTCTAAATGAGCCAATATAGCATCATTAGTACCTTAGCAAAATCACAGTTTAAGTTAATAGTGCAAATATTTACAGATGCTGTACCACAGACAAAACCCAAGGAAAACAATTCTAATCAATTTTGAACACGTAAAAGGACAAAAGAATTCTTACTCAAAACCATTTATAGAAGTCGGAGAAAAGCTTCTCTGCGTTTGACAACACCTTGAAAATAATCCATTTCACCACTGCCTATTTCTCCTATTATTCATGTGTCACACAGCAGGAGCTAAAGGTATTTGGTACTTTTTTTTTTTTTTAAGTATGATTAGTAAAACATGGAAGAAAATCTACTAGCTGGCACCAAGACGTAGAATGAACTATATAAAAGCCTGCTTCCAAACTTGAACAGTTTCATTTCTAGCTGTCCTTTTGAATTCTTCTCTATTTACACATAATACTGAAGATGCAAAAAATAAAAATTGGCATTGCTAAAAATCCATTAATGGAAAACTTTTAACTCACAACGAAGTTTCTTAGAGTCTTTATTCTCTTTCTCTTTTTCTTTGTCTTGTTTTTCCACCCCAGGGGAATCTGGTACTTCATCTTCTAATGCTTCATCAGACTCTACTACCTATTAGATTTAAGATATACAGTGATCAGTTTGCCAATTCATAGAATATAGCATTAACAAACACATTTCCAGTAGACAGTTTTAGAATATACATTTTTTTCCCCTATAATGATATTCAGTTGGTTCTTTCCTGAACTCTAGATGCTAAAAATATCTTCAGAGATGATACCATTCAAGAGCAGAGTGAATAACTTTGAGAAACACTATTTGATCATAAGACCCAATAAAAAAAGTTTGGCTGGACACTGGACAAAGTACAACCAGCCTTTCATGGTAACACTTCATTACACCAACCAATAAACAATAGAAATGTGGTGGGTTTTTTCAAATGCAGCAGACAAACATCAGGTATTTCATGGTCTGCTACAGAAGCATCTGATTGATAGAGTCTAAAAAATATTTCCAGAGCATTTACCCTATTTCTGATCTCTGTAATTAAAATTTTCTTAATAGAAAACAGAACTACCATTGGAAAATTTCACCACTGTCAAAACATACACTGAATTCACTCTGAAAAAGTAAATATACCAGCACCTAAAATTCTTGCCCTGTGTTATTGCTCTCTCGGCATATCCTCATTAAACACAGGTAAGTGAAAACATAGATGATGATGTAGTGTGGAGGCAGATACCAGAGACTGTTAAACTGCCCACCTGCAGCCTCACGCCTATGCTACACGCATGACTGCAGACATACCAGAAAATAGGAAAAGAAACTTCCTCTGGTCTTAGTGCAACATACTCCCTTCCAAAACAACCTATCACTTACTTCTATTAAAGAGAACTTGACTTCTACACAGTTACAAAAATCTGACTAGAGTGTCATTTGTTACAAGGAAGGGTATTTTAAAAATATGGCAAGATTGTGTACTCCAGACCACTGAATGAGCAGACACATGACTTCATTGACTAAGTTGCGCTTCAACTTGAAGAGTAGATGTTAATCTTTAAACACCCTCATTCCTTGCTGCTTTTCGAAAGCTTTGGATAGCCTTTTTACACATCAAAGATTAATTTGGCAGTTGAATATATTGATGTCCCTGCTAAGGATCCCTCCAGATAGCTGTTGCTCTTGTACAGCATATTGCCACAGCAGCAGCCTGAAAAGAGCAGAGACCAGAATCCTTCTTTCGAGGAAGATCTCGTCACACTAGAACTTGTCCTGGGAAAGAGATTCACAGCTACTATTACCGTAAAGTTCCCAAAATGAAAAGCCTGCTTCAGATCTGATGGAGGTTTGTACCTAAAGCTTCAGCGCTCCAAATTATCAGGTAGTCTAATAATGTACTTTTTGAACTTTTCCCTTGTAATCTTAGGTCTCTTGGCTACCGGCTCCCCGTAGTAAAACACCACCATTTCCTCCAGAGTGCTGATAAACTCTCCCTATTCCACCATTCACTTCTTCAACTTAACATGTGATACCTCCCTCTCACCTCAGCATCTCTCAGCCTTTCCACCTTCGTTTATATTTAAGCAGGGAAGAAGTGGCCCCAGCTGCATTACACGGGGCAGACAGGAGAAGGGTATTGCTGACTTACTGCCTTGTCTGGTTCAAGACATTTTCATACCAGGAGAGAGCAGAAGATTAAGAACCTAAACCATGAGCACTCAGAAAGAAAGTAAACCATTCATATTTGCTGTTTGGGTGGAAAAACACCCATATGTGGACAACACTATCAGAGCTAAAAGAAATGAAGACCATTGTCTGACATCAAAAGCAAAATAAATATAGCTTATGGGCAGCAGCCAGGCCTGTAACTATAGAAATTAAGAATATACATGAAGTCAATTCATTATGAGAGGAATATTTTCTCCAAGATCTCCTCCAACTTCTTCTGAATTCAAAGATGGTAAGTCTTATTTGGTAATATCAAGACCAAACGTTTGATCACTTTTCTGCTGATTAAATAGTTGGCATTATGCTGTCTGATAAGAAGAGATAATACAGTATTTTGCCAGGGCTTTAACTTTGCACGTTTGTGCAGCTTTGTTAAGTGAATAGCAGTATCAAATGCTGATTAATGTATGTCACGAAGCACTGCCTTGGCCGTCCTCCCCTCTTTACTCCCTCTCTATCAGAACCTTTCAGGTCACCGAGACAGAACAAGTATTTGGCCACAGAAGGAAGCTCATTTCTGACCTGGAGGTCAGCCCACATCTCCTGATTCTTAATCCAGTGACCACCCTTCTGCCTTTGCCACTATTAATTACATTTCACGTGTCACCATCAGGAACTGCCATACCCTCAACCTCCTGCCCACACTCAAGAAAATCAGGAAATGAAGATGTACACAAAGCACTAGGAGTCGTTACATAAATTATTTTACTAAACAACATTACCTTGAAAATAGAGTCTCCGTGATTCAAAGACATACCTGATTGTTGATGGTATAGTTAAGAACTTTATACCATTCATTAATAAAGCTGTCATTATCAGATTGAATTAAGAGCTCAGTTCCTTGGCGGGTTTTAAGCTTTAAAGAAATAAAACCAGGTATCATCAGAATTGACAAACACACTAGAATTCAAAAGTGAAAATATCTAAATCAAATTAAACTTCTCCCTGGCATAATTTTTAGATACAACATAGCCACTCAAGAACACTTACCAATGAAAACAGTAAATAACAGTCTGCTTAACGTTTAAAAGCATATCCCATACAGACATATTAAAAATGGACATTTCTTGCAGGTATTAAGATACATCTACATTTGACCAGGAAGAAATGTAGAAAACTCAATTAAAGTTTTTGATGTTAAGTTTAAACAAAGTTTAAGTCATTAATTAAAATACATATAATTCTGGTTTTAAATACTTCACCTCAATAACATTCTTTTTGCTGGATTTATCCTTTGAGGCCCAGTCAATCAATGCCCCTTTGAGATCCACTGTAAATTCTGGCTTAGACTGATTGACACCAAACTTCTGGAAGAAAAGGAACAACGATGATAAACTTGAAAACAAAGAAACTCCTAACAGGTACACAGTCTTATATAACATACGTTATTTACGGTCTATACAACTTAACTTGAATACAGTACTTTGCCACAAATCAACAGGCATGATACCAGGAAAACAAAAACCAAACAAAATCCCCACACAAAATACTCTTTAAGCATGCCTACTAAAAGCTGCTCAGATTAAAGCCCTTAGAACGAGATTCCAACAGAGCTTTTTTTCCTATCACAAATGGTAGAAGTCCATGCAGTATTTGTACCTTGATTTTAGTCAGATAGTCCCAAACTTTAAACAGAACTGGCTAGTAAGTAACTGGGAAGGAAAAAAAAACCCCAACAACCAACCACCAAAAAACCCCTCAAAACATTCTGTGAGTTTATCAATGGATGTTTATAAAACAAAAAAAGTTAAAGCATAAATAGTAGCTTTGCTAGATAGGATTCACATCCCTCCTGCACTGGAAAAGCACTTTCAGTTTTTACATTTTTGTAATATATGTATTTCCAATAATGCTTGTCACGTTGTTTTATATTTTTCTGTAGTGCTTCTATTGCAATACTGGAGCTTATCCTGGCAAGTAAACAGAACTCTATCTCACTGTCTGGCTACTAAACAAACAGTAAATAACCAAAGTGATAAAAAAAGCATTTAACCCACAAGTAACCCTTCAAACAATTTGGAGGAAAACATCAGGGAGCTATTTTTACCTACTACTATTACATTTATACTAGGTATCACAGTTTTTTTAAAATAAAGTACTTTTACTAAGGTTTCAACCTATACCACATAGCTTTGAAATATTCCTAAAGGAAACCAACTCACTGACCCATACAAACAAAAAGCTCTAATTGTGAGTAAAATAATTAAAACACAGAGGAGGGAAAGCTCTAAGTCACTTGGTTGTAGCACAGAAATTTAATGCTGTAGTTCTAGGGGAAGCTTGTAGCATCTGATCCATCAGAAAGGTTCTTTTTTATTTCTTTAAAAAGTCTTTGATATGTGAATTCTGTTCGTGTGACAGCTCTGGGGAATGCAAGCCCCAGGACAAGCTCCTTGCTGCGAAGACAAGTTTCCAGCCTGTGTAAGACCAACCATATCCAAGGGGAGAAAAAACAGTGCAGAAAACAGTACTAATCTGCTGCTTCTGATTAAATTCCCAGCATGGATGTTAATTAATGCTAATTGTGTTTTAGAAAGGCTGTTTACCACTGGAAAAATCTCCTCGCCTTGAGTCCTAAGGGCAATTAAGTGCTGAATGGAAAGCAGCATCTTAACTTCTTTATTTTACCTGTGAAACAGCAGAATAGGGAATATTTCTAATTTACCCAGTGCCAATGGGAGGGGGGAAGAAAAGAAAGTGTTTTTGCTTTCTGACTTAATTCTCAGATACCTCATCCTAGAACATTTATCAATTACAGCAGAGCTGTTGAGAGAGACCCAGCTCAGCCACGGAGTCCACAGCAACACTTTCTGGGCCATTATGGCTCCTGCAGTTTCGGGCAGCTACGCAGCAGCTGCCTGTTTAAGGGAGATTGACATAAGTGCTTCACATACGACCAAAGTGCTCCAGCCACACACTTCCTGACAGCCTAGATCAATCTTGCTGCGTGCTGGAAAAAACCAAACCAATTAACAGAGTTTGGCACTGGAGAGAGCAGACTAGTGTCAAAGTGCTCTGCAGGATCAGGGGAATTTGCTAAAAGCACTGCCCAGATGATGCTGAGAAACCCAGAAGTCAACAACATCAAAAAAAAAAAAAAAAAAAAAAAAAGTCATGTTAACAGTCACTGCTGTTTTGACCAAAAGGAAAGCCCTCCAATACATCAGCTTGCTGAACTCCCCACCTGACAGATCGCAGTACTACCCATCTTTTTGGCCTGACTCCCTTCAGCATTTCAGAGAGGCACAGAACAAACCAAAGATTAGAAACTAAATTTCTCAGAGGGGAAAAAAAGAAGTCTTCCCCTGCTCCTTCGCACCAGTGGTGCCCAAACTGTTGTCTGAGATCCAAGGACGGGGAAACTCATATAAATAATCCAGCCTCTCTGCAAAGCTCCTCTGCTATACCAACATATTATATACTCATCACAAACTTAATTTCTTTATTCAAGGAAATTTGAAGTTTAGCATGCAGGGTCCCCTTTAAGCTTTCCTGACAAGGTTCGTTTCTGCTCCTGGGTGTATGAAAATGAGATGCCAGCTGCCCCTTCCCTCCTTGAAAGCCTCCAGAAGCAAGTTCTGTACAGGGCTGCTCAGATGCTCTTCATAGCAAGATTAGCTAAAGGCAATCGAACCCTCCTGAAGCAAGCAGGTTTTGTTGAGAGCAGTAAAAAGAAAACCTTTCCCTTTAGCATCTGCTGCCACCTAGACATAAAGTCTGCTTTCTCACAACAGAGTGCGCTACCAAGTCAGAACTAGTCAGGATAAATTCAGCTCCTACTGAGCTGACTCTTACTCTTACTGGATTTCTCTTTTGAGGTGCCTGGGAAGTTTGGAAAGGGCAGCCGTGTGAGACAGAAAGAGGGAGAGATCTATACGTGGTGCTGCCAGCTGTCCTAGATACAAAGCTGTCCTGACAGCTTTTTCTAGACAAAAAGTGTAGTCATGGCATGTACTTTTCCTAGTTATATGGCAGAGATAAATTCTACTTTTTGGAAAGAACAGGGGTTTGGGTTTTCTGCTTTAGACATAGTAGATTCCGTGTAGCTTAAGGATTGCCTTGAAGATGTGTGCTGGCATCAACACATAGGCGGCCATTTCAATCTTTTCAAGAGTTTTCTTGTCCTGGAAGTCTCCATGGGTCAAGTCACGCAGTCTGTATTGTGATATATTCCAGCATTCTTTGGAAACAGAACTGGATGTCATTTATGGGAAGACTTTGGATACACAAATGACACCTGCCATTCCTGTAATTCTGTTTCTAATTCCAGTTGGGTGGAACGTTTTAATTCCAAATCCTCCTCACCCATAGATGGACTGCAGAAATAGAACTGAGGAAGCAGATGCTCCTTTGTGGCTGGCAAGGGAGCTTCAGAACTTCAGAACTGAGCTCCATCTAATCAGCTGTGCAATACTGGTGAACTGTAGTAATGTAAATATAACATCCTTGGCTAAAAACACAGTGGCATAACACAGTAAACGAGAGTTTGCCCAAATGAACCTTAAAGAACATTTGTTTCCTTGATGTTTGAGAAGTTTACCCACTTTTGGTTTACCACCACTGTACTTGACAATGAGGACATGCACCTACTACAGAAGGCTGACAGACACATCCTTCTAAGCAGTTACCATTTGCTGTGTTTTATGAAGCCCCATCACTAAAATTTGGCAACAGCTATTTTAACTTATTCACACCAAAAGTTGAGACACCTTCTTTCAACAGTTAAAAATTTAAATTTCTGTGATAAGACATAATAAGTAAAAAAAAATAATCCAGATTTCCTTACAGAAAGTGGCATTTTAAAGGATACCAAACTGCGTACAAATTATTTGTTCCAGGCTTCCACACAGATAGCAATGAATTTGACAAAGAAAAGGCAGTTGCATCATTTTTAGCACAAGATTAATTGAATAAGCCTACAAGTTACTCCCCCCTACAGAAAAGTAAAAAATTAAGGTACTGGTCATCAAAATGGTCATTCTAGAAGTCTCAGGAATCTCAACTCAAAACATACAGTTCTCCACTCTTCTGGAAATACAGCCAAGATACCAAAATAGTTTTAAACATCACTGACACTTCAAAATCCTCAAGAAGTTACTGAAACATTGGTTTTAATGTCTTCAGCATATGATTTTTTTTCCATGAAAGCTTTAGTTTGATTCTGGTAAGAGTGCTGAGAAAGTGATATTAAAAACCAATTATACAGCCAGTCAAGCCTGTTTGTTTCTAACACTAGCATCATTATCTAAATTCCTTCTCATCCACCTTGAGCAACAAGCTACCACATTAACTACCAACAATTTATCAGTTTCTGATAAGCAGCTTCTGTTTGGCATCTACACTTCAAAACAGGACTAACTACAGATGCTTAATTATATATAAAGAGTCCTACAAATTTACATCAGCTTTCTGTACGTGGCATATAGCCAGAACATCCTTGAGCTCTTTTCTTTTCAGCTTTTTATGCATAACATTTACATTTTCTGGTATTCCAAGTATTGCTAGAATTAAGCAACATGTACATCATTGTATCAAAGGCATCATAGGCACTTTACAAACATTCTAAATTAGTTGTGTTAGAAAGAATTAGACACAAAATATCTGTTAAATAACTGACCATGTCATGCTGTTTATTAGTCAAGATACTAGTAGGAGAATTTGGGATTATAATTCTGGCACTGATGAACCAGATACTTTTTCTACTTTGCTCCATTAGAACAATTACAGGATTATTGCAATACACTTGTGTTAATTTGCACCTTGGATGGCTTTCAGAAAACAGCAAACAGGATACACAAGGTGATATATGAAGTGACAAAACTTAAAAAAAACTTAAAACTTCGGAAAAATCCACATTTACTTTCAAGATTAGTGGCCTTACAGTGACAAGAGGCATGCAACAAGAGCACATACAGTGATAGCTGAAACTTGGTCAGAGTTTACATAGGTGACAGCAGGTCGACGACTGAGAGCATTTTTCCAAGAAGAAAGCAGCGAGAGCAAGAGCTCAGGAATTGAGCCCCCTTGGCAAAATGACTTGATGAGAAAAAGGAAGAAAAGCGATGAAGTCACAAAACAATGCACAAAAAAAAAGGATATGGTTATATCAATCACTAGACGAATGCTAAACAAATATTCTCATAAAAATGAAGCAGTGTAATTCTTATCACATATCAAACTGTTAGACTTGACTTCACCTTATTAAAACACTGACACAGATCAAAATTTGAGAGGTGAGGTGGAATTTTTAAACACCTTCAAAAAATTTCCTACACAGCAAGCAAAAAGAGTGTGTGCTGAATATTTACTTGCAGTTGGCTTTGTAAATATGTAATTATGCAGGCATACAACAAAGTCCTTGAACACGATTCTCCCTTAATACTTCCAGCTTCACTTTATTCTGTTTATACTGTTGATACTTATTTTGCTGACCCTACTCAAATACTTGACAGTACACATACCTGACAGTGTTGCACAGAAATATTGTGACTGTGATACTTTTGCTCCACTTTAATTATCAAAAGAATTTATTATTTCCCCCCTCACGGCCCCCAATGCCCAAATGGTTACACCTATTTGGAAGGTGTAACAAAACTGACAGTAGTATCCCTAAGCAATAAGCAGAGTTTCCTGATTATCTTTTATGGATAATTCATTTGGGCGCACATTGATTCCTAACAGTATCACACATTCATAAATAGCATCTTAGTTTAGCCCTGTGTGTTTTAGTGATATCAACGTGAAGTTAAAAGAATAGGTTTTTTTTATCTACAGCTACATTTGGATTAAGAGTATTAGTAGCTGTAATCAAGTTTTTGGAACTTGATTAGTTACTCAGGCAAAATGTTTTACTTTCAAAACATGCATATTTATACCTATAACACTAAAGTACTTTTTGGATCCTTAGCTATAAAAGCAAATTGCAGAAGTCACCAAGTCCAATTCCTGCCAGACAACATAATTTACCTTATCTCATGCCTTTAATTTTTTTTACTCTTTTTCTTTCCCTTCTTTTTCCCTTCTGCTTGACTATCTTGCCCAACTTTACTCTTTCCATTCTCTTCTACCCCAAATGTTGGTTTTTATCCATCCTCACCCAATTTTTTTCCAACCACCCCTCCTACAACAACAGAAGGGCGGGGGGGGGGGGGGGGGGCGCGGGGGGGGGTGGCAGAGGGGAGGAGACATTTACAGCTCTGGAATTAAGTCACTGCTTTAGGAAAGAATTGCGACTACCAATTCACTACCCAAAAAGAAGCAGAACAGGAGAAAGTGAGCCAAGTAGAAAGACCAGCAAAGCACAGCAACATAGCATATATAGCTTAAGAAGCAATTTTGCTGGAATTCACATAATACACTGGAATAAGGAATAACTAAAGAGAGGTCAGATTCGGTATTATAGGAGATCCACACAGTTTAAAGTCAGACCTGCAGAAGTAGGTAAGCAAGCCATAGATAAAAGCCATTTCTATACCTACTAATGTAGGAATGCAGCTGGATAAATATCGCTGATTTGATTATAGTGCCATTAAACTACAGGTGATATAAAAATTGAATAATCATCACCTTCAGTGTGATGTTTCTCTTTAGGTCTTCACCAGACATCAAAATAGATACAAATACTTGTCAAGCACTATGCTGATACAAAACAAAATAGGGAATCTAGCAAGGCAAAGACTAAATAAGACAACAATACTACATTATTCAAATAGTCCAACACAACAAGTGTCAGACTACTTTATTACATGTATCACATCCAAAACTACCTGAAGTTTATGAAAAATATCCAAAATGGTAAAACAAACAAACAAACAAACCATTCAGACAAACATATTAGTAAGAAAACCAAAAATATTTGGCCTGGAGCAAAAAGTTCAAGCTTACAGGGCACCTGAATATCTCTTTATCAGTTTCTTATCAAATTTAAAAATCTTTCTGAAATATAAGAAAGTACAACTGGTTTTCTTCTCATTCTACATCATAATTGTTACATTAAACTATTTTCCTGCTAACTTACCCACATTCATTTTTTTTAAATTACGCATGAATATCGGTAGTTAAGCCCTGCAAAGAAGGCGGCTTTGATTTATTGTGCTTTATGTGATTAACACTTAAATGAGGATGGGAGTTGTTCCTGAGCTTACCCAGCCAGTTCCACTTCCTTGGGTTTTAGTGAACAGCAGTGATGAACCTTGTAACACTGCCCATGATGACATCCAATTCTTTCTGTAAATATTTGTAAATAAACATAAGATGAATTGACATTGAAAGTAGATATTTAAACTGTCAATCATTGTTGCCCAGCTGACCTCTATGTTAATATGCTTAACCATATATATATGGTCATTAGTGCCATCAGTAAGTCATAATTGCTATCATATTTATAGAAGGGAACATATGTTAACAGTCCCAGCCTGACCATCAAAGTCTAAATCAAACAGAGCTAATTAGCAGTAGAAGCAGTTCACCAGGAGAAACACCATACAATTTTAATTTCAAAGGAGCTAATCTGGAACGCTCAGTGTACTGTGTACTTAGTAGATTATGCCAAAGTACTGCATAATTCTGAAACTGATTGATCACATCTAACTGGGATGCAAGTGTCCTACGTTTATGCAATAAGCTCATTTACACTGGCAATAAAATATTGGCTACATATCTAAAAAATGCAGAAAAAGAACAAATGAGTTGTTCCAGCTATTTGCTTGTATGCCTAAGTACCCGTCTTCCTGAAGTTAAAAAAAATAAATCCTGACAAGCCCTGACAATCTATTCCCATTGCCCAAACATGAATCATTATTCAACAGCTCTCAAAGCAACAGGATGGCCATACTGCATCTTTCTATACAGCAGTGCAGTAATCCAGATGGATGATTCCAACATAAATAGTGAGAGTGTACTGTACCCGCAACAGCTTACGTGAGCCACTGCCTACTCTTTCCTACCAAGTTCTTCGGAGCAGCTCTGAGGAACCCAACCGCGGGTCAGATGTGCTGCCCAGCTGCACTGGACTAGGTCAGAGTAGCTCTGGAATATTAGCTGGGTCCTGACTATTTAATTCTCAGGAAAAGCATGCTTCGTGTATCAAAAATCTAGGAAAACACTGAACTAGATATAACACAGTTTTAGACCTAAAAGATTGAATTAAAAAATTAAAAGTAAAAAAAAGTAAAAAAGTAAACCTAAATTAAATCTGAGGATGTGCCACACATATGCAGTATTTAACACTGAATCTTTGCAAAACACCAGAAATGTAAGTTAGACAGTATTACTTGATTATACATTACGATTTATAAAGTAAATGCCTGCCTGTGAGGCAGAAAAGGGAAGTTAGAAATGAGGTCACTCATCACCTATAGGAAGACCAATGTTGGGCGATACATTCTGCTTCAAACCCTTCACAAGTAGAGTGAAGGAAGAATTAGGGAGCACGTGACACGTACACTCCTTCGAAATTAAAGGAGATGAAGTGAAAGTCTGAAAGCCCCTTTTACACCAATTCTATCTAAAGAACAAGACAAGCTAAACTATAGAGATTTTCTCTTAAATAAATAAATCAAACCCATTTTCAAAAGCTGTCGCTCATTAGTACACCTTCAAGAAATCACTGCCCTGTGTGGAGCCCTGGCATACACGAGCCTCTGGCTCTCTCAAGTCTTATCATCATTATCTTTAGCTCACTGGGAGAAACATATACTTTGGGATAAGGAAACAATTTTCCTTAGAGGTTTTCTTGTAGGACACAGTAAGACAAAAAGTAAGAAATTGCAAAACTCAGTATGCTGTCCTTATGAAAGTCAGATTCCTTACACAAACCCTTATGCAACATGCACTTTTACAGGTCCAAGACTTACCGAACTTTCTTCCCATTTTCTGTAATTTTTGTCACATTCAATAACCCATACTTCTCTTGACCCTGTAAGACAGAGTAAGACATAACAGATATAAAAGAAAATCTGCTTCTATTGCCATCCCAGCACTGAATTAACCCCTCAAATAATCAATTTCTGGCAATGAGCCATCTTTGCCCATGTTTAAGAAATTGTCTTAAGTGCATGCAGAAATCAGCAAAATCAAAATTCCTCTGGGAAAGTACTCATTACCATTAAGAGGGTAAACCGCCTAGGTTCTTTGGACAAGCCAAATTAAATCATTTGTGGTACCAGACAATGGAAGTTTTAAACGTAAATCTATAATGATTTGTGTAATAGCACATTAGTGTTTGTGTCCTTTACTGAGAAAGGACATGGCTGACAAACAGCCTAAATTCTCTGACAAAATTCTTCCAAGTTATTTTAGCATAATTGCCTACTTTAAGTAAAACATGGTTGAAAAGCACAAAAATATTAACATACTCATTTCAAAAACAGATGAGTGAAACATTTCTTTGATGTCCTACTTTTTCTTATCCTCAAGCAAAATATTAGAATTTTAAACTACTTAATTATGTCTTGTTGATGAAAATCATTTCTATTGCTATGCCTCTGTACAAATTTGGAGATCAGTCAGTGATTTGTGGAAAAAGAATACCGCTGAACAAGAAGGGTGTTTGCAAGTTTCAAATATTTGGAGTGAATATTTCTAGTTTCTATGCAAAAAATAATAAAGGAATGTTTGAAAAAAATATTCTAGGATGAAAAGGAAAACCATCAGTTTATACCATTTGTGACTCTCAAGATGAGGTACCAAATTCTATCATTTTTCCCTGTCACCTAGCCTTGTCCTACCAGTGAATGGCGCTAAAGGAATGTTAAATTACTTTTTTAATCAATTCCTCTTCAGTAACAGCTTGGAACAGTTCCTAATTTAAGAACTAAACTATTAGTTGAACCAATCAACTAGGGAAAGGATCCAAATTAATTTTATCATAACAAAAATGAATGTCCTCAATTCTAGATCCAATGAAAATAGAAGATATATTCTCTTCAGCATTCTCCTCTAAATCTCAAATTTAAGTGGACCATAACTTCAGAATACAATATTGAAGAGAAATTTTTTTGCTGGAATACTGTGACACCACTCTTCGCAAAGACATAGATCGGTTTTTCACGAACCTTAAAAATTTTACCTGCATGTTTCAAGCACTGCTCATAAAATACAAAAAAGACATGTTTTCAAGAACAACAGCGTTTACCTGGTGGTTCCGCTGTTATTTTGATCCAATGGTAACTGCTACTCTCACTCAATCTAGTATTTCCATTGGGCTGGAATGCTTTCCCAAGCCAGTGATGTATATATTATTTTCCAAAACTGGTGTTTTCAATAGAAGAAATGAGTCACTTCCCTCCTCCACCCCCCACCCCCGCCAAATTAGCCCATTCTTTAGATCACTTTATTTGTGACCCACAAAGACCACCACTAAGAGTCCTATGCATTGCACCCTTCTAACAAATCTTTGGGTTTAGTAAGTGGAATGGCCTGTCACCACCTTTCACAGTGACTGAGCAACCCATGCCCAATTTCTCAAATAAATTATGGTTTTAATAAATTACTCATAGTGGAACCAGTGGGCATGCTCCAGAGAAGAATTATTGAGAAAAAGTATCATAATGCCCTACTTAGCAGCAACACTAGGGGGTACTAATGGGAAAATTAATGTAATTGGGGAAAAAGAAGTGGAAAGCAAGTTAAGACTCAAAATACACAAACATTCACCAGTTTTCTTTGTAATATTTAAATCCCCAGGGACGGTTAAAGAAAATACAGATTATTTTTTCCATTATCTAAAGCAGCAAATGAGTTCTACAAAATACAATTTTAATAATTCAATGTCTGAGCCATATTTAGAGAAATTAGAACACATGCAGCAATAACTGCTTGTGTGTAAAGCTACCAACTATGCTTGTTTAATAAACAATGTTCATTTTATTGTGGAAAACTGTTTGAAGAGTTGTAAGAATGGATTAGCATGAATAAGCCAGAGAACCATTCCTCTGCGTGCAGAGTAAGAATGAAACAGGAGTTGTGCCCTTAATACCCTGAGCTACCTACTAAAGGGCTGCAAAAATTCAACAAGACACATATTTCAATACAGTTCCAAAATTTAAAAAGGTTAAAACTTCATTTTTTAATTATTTCCCACTGTTTAAAAAGCAATGATTGCATTTCAAATATAAACTGAAGCAAAAATTCTGTTTTGCATAATGGTTTAACAAGCTTAAGTTTTCCTCCCAGTACTTATTCTACCAAGTCAAAAAGACATAGTTTATTTATGCCAGGTCCTCTATGTCTTTTCAAGGAGACTGAAACACAAGTGAAAAAATAGAGATATCAAATACTACAAACTATTACTGACTACTGACAGTGAGACTTTGTGGAAAAGGGGAGTTTGTTTCTGCTTTTAGCTTCCAAGTTGCTAGGTGAGAAGACTTGACTGTCAAAGGAAGTAAACCAAGTTGTACATAATTTGACATAACTTTATTCCACAGTGAGTTTTTAACTTAATCTCCTATCGCCAAGCTGTATTTAAATCAAAGACATTTACATTTTTTCTGAAAGCACAGTTGGAAGCAATGCATTCTTTTTAAAATGTAAAGCCTTCAAATACTTTTATCCCATTGTTTTTCTCAGCAACAAGCAGGCTTACCCTCAATTCTCTAATCATGAATAGCCCAGTTTATACAGCATCTACTTATCTATTTAAACACTTTGCATACTGACTGTGGCTTGATGCTTTGGTGAAGAAGGAGAGGACTCATTTTCAGGAAAACTGGCCTTAGCAGCAGTTGATGATTCCTATAAAATTTGAATAGGAGACGTAAGTTATTACCTTTCTTACAATTCTTTTATTTTTTTTAACCCTATAGACACTTTCTCTCTCTCTTTATACACACTCACACATTACAAAAAAAATATTTACTTTATTTAAGCATTCACGATATTCTCAGATAATTATATTATGAACCTGCTTACTAAACAGTATTCTTACAAGATTTACAGACAATACTCAAAATGGCTTAATTAGCACATATCCATTTAAAAAAAATGTAATACATACTGTATCAACTTAAAGCAAAGCTTTCATCCATATTAAGGGCTAGATTTTTTGTAAGACATTGCTATCAGATTATGAAGCACATTTATAATACTAACTTATTATAGGGCACCATATAATAAACACGAAGATTTTAAAGAACAGATTATGTCTCTGTGTGGTTAGCAAATATAAGATTAATACAAAAAATTGTTATATGTGTAGAAAAGCATATACCAGCTCCATTAATTTTTGTGAATCATGATCATTAATTTCCTTATAATCAAGCACTGAAAATTTCTGGAGATTCAGGTTTTTCTTTTAAACTAGATGTTAACTACAGACCAAAAGAAAGTACTAAATCTCTGAAAACTAGAAGAATTGCCCATCTGGAATAGAAAAGAAAAGAAAAAAAAAGGGGGGGGGGGCATGTTTGTTTCCTCTGAAATAATGATTGCTTTGCACAAATACACTACTTCAAAATCTGGTAAAGAATTTCAAATAGAAGAAAAACATCACTTGTTCTCTGTTACTGTTAAAACATTTCTCCCCCTCCCTCTTTTTAAATTCCCTTGATAGCTCTCCTAAATTCAGTTTGCTTTTCCAGCATTACAGAACTCCGAACACTCGGACTTCAAAATTTACTTGTAAATCTACCTACAGAAGTAGCCCACTAGTTCTTTTAGTAGCACAAAACCAGAGAACATTAGCAATCCTAAGAACAGCCTAAATATTCATCTTTTTAGATGGGGGAGGATATTCAAATTAAAGAAAATCAACACTGTCCCTCCCAGGGGGAGGGGTTTTTTCCCCCCCCTCTGCTTATCAAAATTTTTAGCTGACTGCTATACATATAGGTATGTGTCACAGCCAAGAAACAGTTAACAAGTACATTTGATATCATCGAATTCTCATCAGCCGTGGCAACCCATACTTTAACTCTGACACATTTCAAGCACTCTTTTGACTGGCCTATTTTCAGAGAATGGAGTTGTGATGCTTTTCCACGAAAAACAAATGAGGACAATAAAAAGCAAGTAGCTTCCCTACAAGTCAGCTAAAAAGCTAACTTGGGGTTGACGTGCCTATCCAGCCAAATATCAGTTGTTTTTCTTTCTATTTCATTCTGAATTAGAGATAGCTTTCATATACTAAGCAACTCTGGAACAAGAAATCCTGTATTTCTGGTCATGAACTATTCCCTTTCCAGATACCAATTTAAAGTAGAATATATAACAGTGTGCCCTGCCAGTGGTAATAAAACAGGTGCATCAATGCACTGAACAAATTTTGTCTTTCCACAAAACACTAGCTTATTGCTCCACTACACATTTTTAATTTTCTCAAAGCATTAACATTGTGCTTTTTTATGACCTATGTGGTCTCCTTACCATTAAAAAAAAAAAAATGCATGCTGCCTGCATGTTTTGAAGCTGTTAAAGGAACTTTAAGCTACTGACTTAAGACTTGACAAGTGTGGTTCATATATACAGTTTCTTTTGGTTATTATACTAGGCATGTGTACACTTTCATGTTTGCTTCACTAGGTTTAAGGTCTTGGTATCTGAACACTGGGACTTGAAGAAAAGTAAACAGCTCTACTTATTCAATGTTTTACAAGAGCTTCTTCATTCAGTGCAGCACTACATAAAGATTGTTCCAAAACAGAAGTAAATCTTATGCCAAAAAATAAAAAGATAAGGCTTCCTTTAAAAGCAAGGCCAAAACTTGAAGCTATCTCCAACAGAACTGTTCTTGCCTGTGAAGCGTAAACTGCAGATGAGGCTACAAGTGTCCTCTCAGCTTTGGTTTATCAAGACTCTGTCTAGGCTGTCTCATGACAGTACAGAAGGATGCTTAAGGAGGAGCAGGGAGGGACAACGAGCAGCAGAGGGACCTCGGAATCGCTCGAGCTAAACTAATGCGTACAGGTGCGAAGTCTCCAGCCAAGCAGGGTCCATTGCCGCCTCAGCACCACGTATGATATATTCTAAACTGACGGCTCAAAAGCTTAAGATCAAATCCAATAAATCCTATTCTGAGGAACTAAGTCAACTCATGACAACCCACTTTCCTACACTCCGTTTCAACAAGGAAAGTCATTAAAATGTACCGGAAACAACAGGTCAAGCAAATAACATGCCGGGCAGCAGATCTATTTTCATTACAACTGTTTGTTTTATTCATTATAAATAGCAGAACACACTACTGGGGGGCAGGGGTGTGTGGCGGGGGATGTGTGTGGAGAAAAAGCTTATGTATTTCTGGGCTCAAGACCGGCCCCTGTTTTAAAATAAATTGACTGGTCTGTGATCTCCAGAGAGAATCACAGTGACATACAGACACTGGTTTAGACTCTGCATTATCCAACTGAACTAGCAATCCTCTAGACCAGGTAACGCCAGAGAAGCCTCCAGAGCTAGGAGCCTAGCCAGGTCAGACACCACCAGCCCTGCTTCTCTTTGGTCCTTAGTTCAAAAAGCCTTGCAGAACAGTTTTGTCCATTTAAGTTTGTCTGACATCTGTGATTACACATGCCCACTTATAGGCCCTTCTCCATACTCCCAAATCTAGTGATTTCATTTTTCCCTGTATCTTTAGAAAAAGGGAGCTTGCAATGCCATTTCCTGGTATCTGAGTAGCCTGTGCTACGATTTCAGCATCACAAAGTATTTCCGTTTCCATGAATCTCAGGATGGACTGCTGCAAAGTTACAGAAACCAGCAAGTCACCACCCTACAACACCCGTTTCAGTTCCTCCCAGCTCAGATCAGATCAACTCTCCTCACCCAGGGGCAGAACGTCCCAGCACAAGCAGAAACGGTTGTGACAAAAATCAAGCCGGAGACAGGCAGAGGGAGAGCAAGGCAGAGGTTCTGTCTCCTTGGCCTAAACAGCCCAAAACAGACTGTGGAAAACATGCCCTAAGATTGGACGGAAAATGGCTTTTGTTGCTACAGACCCACAGCTCTTTTGAGACTAAACACCCAGCTCGGCTCCGGACAGGATCAAAGCCAAGCGTTACAGCACTTTGAGCATTGTCCTTTGGCCTTCAATAACAGTATCACAACCCTGCTGTAACCCCGCACAGCTGCTCCTCTCTCCTTAAGATATCACAGTGGAGATCGATGGAACAGACATTTAAAGGGAAAAATCCACTATATAATACTAATTTTACATCTTTAAGGCATAGTTTTTACTTCAGCAAGTGCAGCTTTTATTTCAATTCTATGAATATTTCAATTATTCATCTGCAATCTTTAAAGTGTATTCCTACTTGGGGTTTCCTACAATTAAAATGTTCAGGCATGAAATATCACTATATCTTATATGAGAACCTCACCTGCATCCGTAATTCTTGAATTCAAACCCAAATTACACTCCATAGCCTAAACTGAATTGGGAGATTCCCAATTGTAATTAAAATGGTTGTACAAGCTAAACCCTGAACTAACACTAGTTAACATACTTTCAAGGATAACAAGAAAAGAGTTACTAGTCGTGAAGTAACAGGAGTAAAGTTATCGAACAGCCCTTGCTTTTGCTGAACGTTATACAAAATGATACAACAGAATATAAGAAAAATGAGATTTCAGAAATTCACGCATACTCATTTCTGTTAAATTAAATACTTCACACATCAGAAACAGTTGGTATTCCAGCATGCTGTTTAACTTGCTCCTACCTTATCGTTGGTGTCCAACACAATTGTGCTGTGCCTCCATTTTGTTAAAACTATTGGTTCTTGTAGCCTCCTGTCCAGACTCCTACTCTTTATTATATCTCTCTGCTGCTGTGGTGAAGCATTATACTAAAGAAGAGAAAAATCAAACTATAAGTAGAATCTAATTCATGCACACAAAACTTGGATATACCACTCATACACCTTAACAGTGCAAACTGTCAGATTCCTGATGTCACCCAAGGGTGTGAGATTAGCCGTGGTTTTATTTTGTGTTTAGTCTTCAGACCTGTCCTCTCTGCTGTAGTCCTCTCCGAGGCAGTAACTAAGACTGGCCTGTTGGGATAATACTCTCCACTGGCAGAGAGATGTTCCATTTCTTGTGCAACCAGCTTACTGCTGGTTTTCAAACCAATCAGCATATTGAGAACCACCACGGAATCAGAATAAATACACGATTTAAATATTCACATTTCATATTGCACTGACAGTACCACATCACCTGTCCAGCTATTGTGTAAGAAAAGGAAAACCCTATTATCCTGCAGTAAGGTATTTAGATTGAGAGTTATGGTTGCCTGGATATTATTCTCTTTTACCCAAAGGTTTGGGATGCCTAGGAGAGGAGACATGAGGGAAGGACTTACTTTTTCAAAATAATCACATCAAATTACTTATAAAAGGATTTGCCAGTGTGGAATGTACATAAGCATGGAAAATAAATATTTAGCAGGAAATAACTTTAAGAATCAGAGGTATAATAGCCAAGGAAAGAATGAAGTTATCACAACATAGGTTTTCTAATAACTCAAGAGCATGTAAAGATGTATAAGCTGAGAAAATGTGAAGGTCATGAAAAGGACCTAGCATTTAATTATATCTCAGCATTGTAGCATACTTATCATTAGTAGCATTGCCATTTTAAATCATCACCACCAACACTGAGGTAGCATTATAAAGAATTATAAAAATATTTCAAACAAAGTTTAATACTGAAAATACAAACAAGAAAAGACAACATCGATGTACGTGGGTTGTTTGGGGTTTGGTTGGTTTTTGTTTTTTTTTTTTTTTTTAAAGTCATTAAAAATCTCGCTCTCTCTATTCAGCATCAGAAGACCAAAATCTGCACATAGAAACATGGGGCAGCATTTGCAGAGTCATGTAAAGGACTAAAATCCACTGGGTAAGAAGTAACAGAGGACAGCCAAGTGCCCTTTTTATTTAAAAAGGCTAAAGCAATAATCTTTGCAAGCACACTGAGTTCTACAGTTTTGCTACTGATTCCTACTGTAAGCTCAGAGTCTCAGATCTTCAACAGCAGAATAACCTATAACTATGCCTACGAACAAAGCATGGCAAGGTTTAACCTAAGTAACAAAAATGCTAAATTTAAGCTAAATTGCATAACACAGTTACATCTATTGCCCAAATAAAGAACCAGGATTACTAATGCCATGGCAGACTCTATGCTTGGGCTAGCTTTGTATTTTACTATGAACAGAGTTAATGCTCCAATAAGTCAACAGATGCTTAAAAGGTAAATAACTATGCACAAGAGTTACAAAATACTCCCAGGTGAATAGGTCTTGCAGTACTGGAAATAAAGTTTGGTAGGTCATGTACAGAAAGAAATGTATTAGTTGTCATCGCAGGAATTCAGTTCTGAGATTGCACTGACTTTGGACGGGGTTCAGCACGTTTACATTCACATGACAACTGCTTCCATACAATGGTGATGTTTAAGCAACTCTGTCCCCTTGTTAAACCAAAAGCTGAACCACCATTCATGCTGCAAGGAATTTAATACCAGCTTACTTTCTTGTTACAGAAATACCCACTCTGCAGATGCAACTGCAACTCAAACTGTGGCAGCAAGCTAAGCAATATACAGCAAAACTGCCTGCCCATACTACAATTGAGTTCTAAACAATTTTCAGTGAAACTATGTCTAAATCACAGAAGGCTGCCACAAACAGCATTCCTTGCAGCAGTTCTAACACATTTAAGTGGGCAATTCAAACATATTTCTTGCTATGAAATAGAACCATTTATTTCAGAAATAGACTTACACTTCAGTGACACTGGTGAATATTATTTATGGAAAACCTCCATGCACTTTCCATTTCAGTAACTCAAGGAATTTAAGTTTAAACAGTCAAAGACTTAAAGCAATTCATCTTGAATTTAAGTCTATGTTCAGAGTTAGGATATGGGCAGAAACCTAATTACAGGTGATTTGCATTTAACAGGTGCCTTTGATACCATCGCAAGCCATCAGGAGTTAACCTATCTAACAGACAACCCCATCTTAAAGGGGAAAGGACCTGTAAAGTAATATGAAATTCTAGTTCTGTAAAACTTATTTAACAAAAAAGCAAAGCAACAGTTTATGGAGCTCATTAACAAAGCACTGCTAACAACCCAGGAACAACTGAGCTATATGCATCTTAGCAGCTTAACTAATTTGCATTGGTGGTACAAACAGCATTAGTAAACTGACAAGTCTTTAAAGGGAACATCTGATTTTTTTTGCCCTATTTTCTCACAATAGAGGTGTCAAGCAAACTTTTTTTTGCTCAGGTGTTTATTTTTTGTTTTATTCATTACGAATAGTAGAACACACTACTAAGGGGAGGGGGAAAGAAAAAGCTTATGTATTTCTGGGCTCAGGACCGGCCTCTGTTTTAAAATAAATTGACTGGTCTGTGATCTCCAGAGAGAATCACAGTGACATACAGACACTGGTTTAGACTCTGCATTATCCAACTGAACTAGCCATCCTCTAGACCAGGTAACGCCAGAGAAGTTTCAAGCTAGGAGCCTAGCCAGGTTAGACAACACCAGCCCTGCTTCTCTTTGGTCTGCCCCCACCCAATCTGCTCAGTTCAAAAAGCTTTGCAGAACAGTTTCGGGTCAGATTCACTTACTTACGCTCTATAGGACTCCTTCCTGCAGAGCTGTTGCCTCCTCTACAGGCATTTACAATGATATTTCCCCACTGTTTATTAGCAACAATAAAGCAACTAGGTTGGGCTCTCCTTCCCTCACACAAAATCTTATTTTTACATAACTCCAAGCAGGCTTTCTATGCCTAAGCCTTGGTGTAATTTTGAAGACAGAGATCAGGCAAGGGCCGTACAATGCAATAAAACTGACTGATTCAAGACTACTCATTGCCTGGTAGGACGATCTGTACTACATCATGTGCCTTAATAGCATCTTCTTAGGGTGCGATGATTATTTTCTTAATTCTAAAGCTTTTGATAATGTAGCACAGAATTCCAAATATACACACTACTACCCCTTGAAAATTCTCTACAAACTTAATTTTGCCCCATTACATTAACCCCTTCAGCACATCAGTTTGTTCCCATTTCATTGGGAGCATCTCCTACCAGGATGGGAGGACATGAGCAAGTTGTTCCTACTCTGACTGCACGCACCAAGTAACACAGACTTCTTGTAACAGCTCTTGGCATGGGGTAAGGACACCAGTGGTGTAAATTTAGGTCACACAAGTTTATTTTAATTGCTGATTTTGTTCACTGTCTTCACCAGCTGCTTAAAAGCTTTCTTTGCCTCGGTGTAAGATTTTTCAACTGGCCGAGTGATTTATATTTAATTCGAACCTGATATGTCACATGGCTCAAGGCTCTGTCCTAGCCTAATTGTGACTGAAATAAACATAACACCTCTGAGTTATTTGTGGTATTGTCCCCATTCTTATGGAGATGACACAGATCTGTCAGCTTTGAGAAACAGAAAAAAGATTCTTCTTAGTTTGCTTTAAGAACATCCTCAGCCAGATGAAAGGAACTGGGTGGGTGAAGGGAGAAGAGAGAAAATCAGTAAAGACCCAAAGTTAAGCATTTTACCTTCTTGCAATCAGAGATCAAACCAGCAGCATTTACAAATACTCTGATATCCTAGAACCCTTTAGCGCCTTGTTATCTGCAGTCATCCCAACAGACTGTTTGAAACCGAAGATTTTTTTTTTTTTAAATTTAAGTGTTGTCTTAGAACAAAACCACTCTTTAATGCTACTACTGTCACTGGCTTTGGATAAAGTTTTTTGGTGCTGCGATGTTACAGCTTTTGCTTTGATCAACTACATCAATAACATTTTTCTTAAACCCACATAAATAATAAAAAATTAATTTTTGTCATTTTATGACATTTTATTTGTTCCCTTCCTTTCTCTAGGCAAAGGAGATTCCTTGTTCTCTGCCACAGAACATCTGGGTGGTAGCAGCTGGAGGCACCAGCTGCACTACAGGAACAGAACCCACACAGAACAAGGAGACCACTGGGACCAGCAGCTCTCTCTCAAACATACACATGGCTGATAGACACCTCTGGATAACTCACTTTGGACGTCCGTTGCTTCACTTTCTAAGCCTCAGGATCACTAAGACTGCTGGTCTTTGAAGAAGAGCTCCAAATCAACACTGATTGCCACAGGTCCTGCTGCTTGCCCAAGGAAAAGCTGGGGGCACTCTTCCTCCTCATTGTGGTGGGTTGACCCTGGCTGAG